AAATAGAAGATTCTAAAGAAAGGTCTGGGAAGAAAGAGAAAGAAAGGGGGCTCTCACAAAAATAGAAGGAAGACAAAGAGTAGAAGATGAGGAGTGAGAGGAAGGGAAGAGAGAAGGGCAAGGGGGAGTACTGGGGAATGATATCTATCAAGTATGCTAGGTCCATGTATATGTAAAAATACACCAAAGTGAACCACACACACACACACATACACACATACACATACACACACATGCATATATATATATATATATATACACACACACATATAAAATAGACTAGTTAAAATAATAATAACAATAAAGGGAGATCACTGGCATAAGGCAAGCAGATCTGGGGAAGAAAAATGGGAAGGGAAAGTACTGAGAAATGAGATTGATCAAACCATATTATGTACCTGTATCTATATGGCACAATGAATTCCACTCTTATGTATAATTACAATATACCAATTTTAAAAAAGAGTCTTAAAATAAAAAGTTTTGGGGAGGTAGTAGCCTTATTAGGTTTAAATCTCCTACTGCCCCTTCTGGAACCAATMTAATCATTTTAGGCACATAGGATCACTGCTTATTTTCTTTACTAAGTTATACTGTCCACATTGGAATAGTAAGTAGAAACTAGGACTGTATTGTTGAACACCTTAACCATATTGAAAAGCATATAATAGAACAATTTAAAATTAGAGGGGGAGAGAGAGAGACAAAGGAAGGGAGGCTGGGGTGTGGGAAAGAGAACAGGTTAGTTTAAAAAGAGAAAAGAAAACCAAGGCCACTTGGTTATCTGAACAAGAGGATGCTGTGTTTGCTGTGGCTTAGTGACAGGTAGAATTTACATGGACTGCATCTAAGCTTCACACAGCATTTAATGCCAACTAGTAGCCTCTCCATCACTACCCAGCCATCAGTCACTTTGTTGTGCAAGGATATGTCCTCCCAATAGAATCCCCCCCCACAAAAAAAATTGCTGGATTCACAGTAATTGCCCAAAACTCTGCATCAAATATTTTTTTTCTGATATGAAATATACCATATGCAAATTTTAATATTCAAATATTTAAGATAGTTTATTTGAAATATAAACAGTTTTCCTTCTATTCATTTTTTTTCAAATAATGGAAATATCACAAATTGTCATCTGCTGTGTTTCCAAACAAGTGACTATAATTTGAAAGGAGCAGATAAATTTCCTTTTATGGTAAGAACCAAAATAAAGCTCTCACACAGTACTGCAACTTGGGTAGCAAGTGGTGTATTATTACTAGAGGAGGAAGAATTTGCACATGTTATATTTGACTTTCTACTTTAATTGCTTTATTTAAGAATCTAATACCCCACATTGAGAAAGTACTAAATATTTATTAAGATGTTGATATGGAGAAAGAAAGTCATTACAAATAGTACATGTAACATGTTTATGAGGAAAAAATTTTCTGACAAAAATATAATTTTTAATTATATTTAGAGCCAAAAATATTCCTCCCCAAATAAATTTATATAATATCATATTTTCATTTACATATATTATATTTAGGACTTATTACTTGTATGTACTCAATTGTAAAACCAAACTACAATGCTTACAATTACATACAAATTTATATTACAGGAATATTCTAATATAATAATTATTTCAAAGAGTGTAGTCTTTTGGTAAAAGTTTCATCTTATTAATAAACAAACTAGATCTTAAATTTAAATAAAATTTAGTTGTACACTACATATTTTGATATATGTTGTAGCAATCATACTTAAAGTCAATACCTGTTGAATTATCATGTATGGTAACTTGTAGGAAGAAATTATAATTTAAAAGAAAATCACTGATCTTATTCTATGTGTAAAACACTTGGTTCATTCACTAGTATTTGGTTTATACATATTGTTTATCATAGTGTCACATGTGCAGATTTAATATATTTTCATTCAGCAGATTAGTCACTAAAGAATAAACCTGCCATTCACATCTATATAAAATACTTAAAAATAAGAAACTGGGAAAGAAATTACTTGTATAAACCCAACAAAATACTTTGTGAAAATTACCTTASCATTCCAATAAAATTGCCAGTGAAAAAGTATCATAATTCAGCAAACTTATCTGAGCTCGATTTTAAAAATCTGTAAATGTTCATACGTGTGTATACATATGCTATATTACATATATATCTACAGGTATGTATATTATATTTATAAATAGCTTATATAGACAACATAAATCTGTTATAGTTATCAAATGTATGAACAAAATTTGTGTTTCTCATACCTTAATAGAATGGTTTTGAAATCCTTAGTAATTACTATATAGATGACACATATACGTGTATACAATTGTATATCATGTACTCCTATAAATGCACATTTGTATCTACCCAATGCTAGCTCCYATATTTTCAAAATCATTTAAGTCAACTTAAAAAAATCAATGGTCTATTCCCAAATGGTTAGCTGTTAAATTATACTTACTAATCACCTTTCTGTTATTTTTTGATAGTAACTATCATCAACTGTTAAGATGTACTTTCAAATGAGGGAAAAATACATGTTAAACGTCTATACTGCTTGTAAGTACTGTCCCAATTTTGGAAAGAGCAAAATGTAAAAAAAAAAAAAAAAAAGTGAAAAGTACATTGAAACAGTATAGGCATGAGTAAGGTGTTTCCAAATAAAACATATTCAACAAGAAGAAATCCTCTAAATAAAATATGTGAGTTTTTTTAGTAGACGTTCATAGCAAACTATTTAATTGATATGGTTCAAATTAGGACTTTTGCTCCGGATATCAGAAGCCTCTAGATATTAAATCAAGCAAGAAATTATGTGTATACAAACAGAAGAAAGTATCTTGGCATATTATTTTCAGAAATTGTGACCATAGAAATTATAAATCATTCACAGTAGAGTTAATTCCAAGAAAGCCAGGAAAGATTTAGCATGTGTTATGTATAATTTTCTATGACAAATAAGAACAAGTATATAAAACCCTACAAATATATGACCCAAAACATATTGCAGAGCACTGATTTCCCAGAGGCCAATGTAAAACTCATGTGCCCAGCTATGTTTATTCTCTCCTATAATTGAAATCCATTCATGCTGCACAATTGCTTTTACATGATAAAATATCTTAGTTATTACATCTGTAACAATAGAGATTCTTATTTATTTTAAACGGAAGTATTCTATTTTACTATTAAGTATTACCTTTATGATTTCTCAATTGTCTTGACCATCTTTAAATTGCTATAATGTATTTTATTCACATATCAGACAAGTTCATGCTTCAAATTTTAAAATTCTACATAAATAGAAAGAATTACTCAGAAATTTAATTTGATGAACTGCATTACACTTTTGTTTCCAAGGACTTTTGATACATTGATATACATTTATTAAATAGATAATCTCAATATAAGGGAATATTTATACTGAAGATAAAGTAAGGAATAGAACCTAGACATTCTATTTTCCTTAGTTTTGTGCTCTAATCTCAATTGAGATCAGAAGGGAAATATAGTTAGATGTTCTCAAACAGAAATGCATTTTATTCATTCACTCAACAAGTTTTCATTAAAGGAAATCCAGTAACATGAATTAGTAATTAGGATATTGTATAGTTCATTTTCTGTTGCCAGTAATACAGTACCACAGAGTGGATGAATCATGAAGAAAAGAAGTCTAGTTTGGCTCAGGGTTCTGAAGGTGTAAGGTTGAGGGCTCTCACCTGGTGATGGCCATCTTGCTGCCAGAATCCCACGGAAGCACAAGACAGGGAACATGTATATGTATATATGTGTCTTCTCGCTCCCTCATTTTATGAAGTCACTGGGATTCAATCCTGCAGGCTCCACCCTGATGAGTTTGTCTAAACCTAATCAACTTCTCAAAGCCCCACCTCTAAATACCATAGTCAGATTAAGTTTCCACCCATTTAATACATTTCAACATATGAGGTCTTGGAGGACGTGCAAACAATATCYAAACTAAGGTGGATATTAAATCAAGATCAGCTTGAAGGTTCCTCAAAGTTACCTACTTTTTAGGAGAGAAGCTTTTATATTATTGGAGAAAAAATGGGAATGATCTATAGACTTTGACAACTAATTACATYTAAGACTACCTGTTGTCTGTAAGGTGTCTCCCTTCTGCTCACAATAGTCATATGTGACTTTTTTCCTTCACATCCTTATATCTTGCTTTCTTTTATTAGCAATAGAGTCAGTTCCTCACCTGTTCTACTGGTTCTTTCAAACCAGCATCATCTTTTGATGATTTTTAGACCTTTACAGAGGAGTTTTCAATTTTCCTTGGGAGTTCTTACAGTTCCAAATTTGAATACATTAACTAAAGTATAGCATTAATGTTTCAAGGAATCTTTGTGATGAAAGTTATGGATAAGAATAGCCAGAATGACTTAACTAGAAAATTCTCCCCTGCAATGGTTCTCAAAGTGTAGTATGTGGATTAACAGCACCCATTTCATATAGGAACTTGTATGAAAATGCCCTATCCCAAACCTTTTGGGGACAATGGAATAGGTAATTGAAGAAGAGGGAGGTGATGTTTATGCATGCTAAAGTTTGAGAGTCACTGTTTTTATTTTGTTTTGTTTTGTTTGTTTGCATCCTAATATCAGAGGTAACCAAATAATAGCTTTCTTAGTTCTAAAAGCACAGATTTACCCCAATTAGGGGAAGCAGTTTTTTGACTTCTCAGATGCAAGAGCTTTTTAATTCATTTTTACATCCATGCATACTGCTATTTATTTATCTGAATGTTCTTCAGTAGGACATTCAGATAACATTGAACAGCTTTACCCAGACATTAAAGCTGTTTCTGTGAGCTCAAAATATTAGAGGAAGGAGCAGGATAGTGCAGGGACACTAGAGCCACAGGTGTAACTGTAGAGGTTAGTCAAGTCAGCACTGGAGTCTCCATATCTTGCCCCTCACGTTGTCTGTCTCTTTATAACTGACTTTTCTCATGTCATTTTTCCCCAGATACCTTTATCTATGAATGTGTCAACCTTTCTGGCATACGACCAGCCCACAATAAGTTATTGTGGGGTGCATCATGAGCTTCTCTCTCACAAATCTTTTGAAACGAATGCACAGGAAGATACGATGGAAACACACCTAGAGACTGAGCTGGACCTGAGCACAATCACAACAGCTGGCCGAATCAGTGACCATAAACAGCCACTGGCTTAACTGAGCTGACTGGTGGCCAAGGGTTGCTACCAAACTTTGTAACCTCAAGGACAAAATGAGGAAGATCTGTTCATTGTGACTCTGAAAAACAAAACAAAAATCCCCTGTTCAAATAAAACAAAAATCAAGATTGATTCATGAAATAAAGAAGACATGAATTGTTTCAAGTCTACACTTTGTAATTAGCTAAGTTGTGCAGTATTTTTTTGACTTAAAGAGTATGACCCTGAAAAAAAAAAAGAATCGATTTTTCAAAACTCATCCTACCTACGTGTAAAAACTGTACAGAGCTAATGTATTTTTCATATTGTAAAGTTTCAATTATAGAAACAACTGGTATGTACAGTACCATAATTTAATTACATTTTACTTTACAAACTTTACACATTTCAGTTTCTAAAATTTTAAATTAACAAAAATTATTTCTTGTGTTATTCAAAGTTACTCAGTTTTGTAGGGACTGTTTTGTTACTGCTTTTGTGCCCAGAAACCTTGACTCTAAAATTCTGTGCTGTGCAAAATATGCACGATTTTTATCATGCTTACTGCGTAGAATTTTATCTACTTGTTCCAGAAATAATACATTAACCAAAAAGGATTTAATTGTTCAGACTTGTAAGAGGTTCTTCAATTACATAGACAGGTTTTTCTTATAAATGAAAAAAAAAATCAAAAGATTTTTTTAACAGTTCTTCTCAGATTTAACTGTTGCCTTGAATTACAGCCTAGTTTCTAAGCAGTGAAATGTAATGATAAAGAGGGATATTTTAACAACATATTTCCGAATGAATGACTCATTATTTCRTTTTTTTGAGTAACCATTGTTAAGGGTTGGGGGGAGAAGTATGGACAAGACATCACTGGAAACAAAGGCCGTAACCACAGCAACAGACTTTGATACACTTAAAAGGTGCAGCTGCCAGTGACAAAGAAAAACTTTTGTTACATCTCATTATTTTGAGGCCAAGGTGGGAGGAATAGAGCATAATAACTGTACAGTAGCAATTTTTCTTCTAATTAACCCAAAGCGGTTTACCTAAAAATAACCATCAGTCAGTGCAAAATGTGCCTGGTTCTTAAGACAACTTTTCATTTAGAACTCTGAGACTATTTTGGGAACTTCTCAAAGGAAAAATATGAAATTTTTGTCATTGTGTGCTACATCCATTGCTCCTGAGGGACAATTTTAAACATCTATAATTCATTCAATATAGAAGTGAGCCACGGTGGAGAAATGTATCACTCAATTAGATTATAAACATCCATATTATGTTCCAAATTGTTAACATTGCCCTCCATAATGGAATTCACCTCCAAATTATCTGAAAAATAACTGGGAGTAATTGAATATCAACCCAGGTCCTATATTGATTATGCAACTGTGTTTTAAATACAAATCAAATTAAGAAAACCTGACTTTTCAGAGGCTGGAATGATCAACTTGTTTCTGTTGTTTACCTGACACAGATTATTGTTTGACAACATTGTTACTATGAAAATCACACATTCTTTTTGGTGTTTGAGTATTTTTTAAAAAAATATAAAACTGCAAGTTTCAATTACTGTTGCACTAGAACAATTGCTTTTTTATATTGTCATTTTATATTTATGATGTCAAAAATAGATTGAATATATGTCAGTGTAACAGGGGTCAAATACAATCAAAGCAACAAAGAAAATAATTAGAAGCATCAATGTCAAACTTAATTTTTTATCTTTTCCAAAGAAATCATATCTACAGAATCTAGTTTTATGCAGGTTATCACAACAAATTGAAGAGCAACTTCAAGAAAAATAAATTAAAAATTGTAGCGCAAAATTTTTTTTGCAAATACAMAAAAATCAAAGAAAAAGGGGATGTAAAGGTTTGAAGAAATAAACTACTAGTAATTTAAATGTAACTAAATGTGAAACCCCTGATATTTAGCATATCAGATTTTGTAACATATTTTGCATAAATTATTTGTTAATCAAAATTTTGTCATTCTAAGCCCAAATTAAGCTTTATTTTTTTCCAATATCGAACTTCCTTACAATGTATTATTTTGAGCATTTTTAATCCCCTATGCTGAGATTTGGCTTTGCACAAAATTTATAGAGGGCTACAAATCTCTTATTTATGAGACTGAAATCAAATGCAAAATTTTATYTATTATGTAAATCAAAATGTCATCTGCCAAGTTGTTCATTAGAAGTTGTCCTTGCAAAGATCCAAAAGAAAGAATTAGTTTGTGTAAATAAGCACTTCAAGTCTATTTTCAGACACTTTCAAATTGATAAATGACTTAGAAATTTTAAGGTTCCAAGGAGCCTTACAAATGTATGCTTTTATTTCCTGAAACAAACCACTTTCTTAAACATTTTAATTTCACCTAAAGTAAGCAACTATAAATAAATCAATTTGGGATGACAGCTCTGAGCATCCAAGTTCCTAAGCTACAATTAAAGGCAARTAACTAAAATTTTAAGACTTCTCATATTTGAAATTAAAAGGGTCTTTAAAAAGAAAAAAAAAAGATGTTGGGTTATTTGCTTCATGTTTATTGTGCCATGGAAGAGGGAGGGGGGAATGGTAAAAACCTGCTAGAATAGATGGTGTCTGGAATCTTTATCCCTTTGCAATTGTGTTAGTTTGTGTCTAAAATTTTAATTCTAAACTATCTTTTTCACCATTTGATAATTTCCCATTTCTTCCAAGTACCTGCCCTTCCCATTGATGTCTCCATTCCTATCTATTGCTCAATCATTTAAATAACTAAAATCTGTTTACCTTTGTTTGGAGTTGAAAAATGGAGAGTTTGACCCAGTGTGATTACAAAAACAGCAACAGCTGCAGTAAACAATAAAGTTTTGCTGTGTTTTGAGGTTTCCAAACCACACAAATCTTCTCATTTTGTCTTCATATCAACCCTATGAAGACACATTAATCTCAAAGAAATTGAGTCCTCACCCATGAACACTGGGCTAATCACTGATGTACTTTAACCATTCTCAAACTTCACAGGCTATTAGTCTTTCATTAAACTGAAAGCTTTCTCTCTCTGATTAGTGCTGACACCAAGATAGTGGATAGAATAAAAGAGAAAAAAAAAAGTTTGACATGTTGTTTAATAATCTCTACTTTAACTCAGTTCCTTCAGTTTGTATAATACGTGAGCTAAATGAACTCTTTCTGGTCTCTCACGCTAAAATTCTATAGCAAGTCACATATCTCAATATATAAGATCATTTATAAATATGCAGAACAGCGACTCCCAAAATGTGGATGTAGGTAGTCCCCAAGGTGCAGACAAAAATTCAAGAAGCAGAGGGAGAGAAACTAAAAACCGTCTAAATTGAGATTGTGTGGGTAGATGTAAAAAGGATCCATAACACAAGGTTGAACACATGTTGAACACACGTTCAACTAAACACGTGTTTGATTCAGAGTTGATAGGGAAGACTATGTTTTTTCTTCTTTTGTTTTGGCAAGATTCTTTTTTGAAACAAAATTTTAAAAMACTGTCATAATAGAAAACAAATTTCTCTATTTTCTTTCCAATAAAAATGAAATATAACTTATCCAAACTAATGCATAGATGCTAAAACCTATTGTTAACATGCAAATATTTTACTAATCTTTTCATTTTTGTCAAGTCTCTATTCCTACTCCCTCTTTCAAGTTTTAGAAAAACATACTAATTTTTAACATAAATTATATTTTTGGAGGCAAAGAAAACTATTCCAAATTTAACACTCAAGACAAATGACATAACCCAATTTGAACTCAGATCTGATTACATAAACTGCTTAGAAACAGTAAAATCTTTTTACAAAAATACTTTCTAAAATAAAACTTCTATTTATAAAAGTAAAAATACATTTGTTTTCAAATGCTCCTTACTGGAAGACAATATTATCTCTTAAAGTAAAGATTCAAAATAAATAAAGAAACAGAAAGCATGAAAACAGATACCTGTGTAAAAAAAAAATCTCAAGATCCTGATTAGTTTGTTTTGTAGTAAAAAATCAGAGGATGAATTGGTCTTGTAGCAAAAACTTCTTCTACTCCATTTACCTCCTCAACTTGCCATAGCTGTCTCTAAAAAGAGAGCAGCCAAGGAACAATACTTYCAAAATTCTGATTTAACTACAATCAGTAATGACAATCAGTAATGGTGCTTCATTTTACTGCAATGGAGAAGAAACTTGAAATTTTAAAAACAAATACCAGAGTACTGATGGGTCATTTTTAAAGGTTTTCCATGGCAAACCATTAGATTTTATTATGAGATAGAAGTAGACTTATATTTAAATTTTGGGTTAATGTCTGAAAATGGGCACAATTGATTATTTACATCCCTATTAAGGACAGAGATCTTAAAGCAGAGAGTAGTACCTTATCTATCTAGGACATAGGGAACTATAGAGTTTCTTAGACCTCTCAGACATTTATAGGAGATTTGGTTTATGTATTTGTCTTCCTGAAAAGCTGAATTAAAATTTGTTTTGTGTAAATCAAATAATTTTTTCAAATTCACTAAGAGAACTGTTATAAATTATCCTTGCAGAAAATCCTTTTTGTTTTCTAAACTAAAATACCACAAATTTAACTTAGTAAATTGGCTACCATATACCTTGTGTGCATAATGCAACACACTCCTACTGTGTGGCCTTAAATGTTCTATGATGTAGTCTTTACCTCAGACTATGTAAAATGAAAGGCTGTCTCCCAAGTTTTGATTTTGAGTTTGTCTTGACATGAGAGATTGGTRTCAGTCAGTTTTATTTACTGAATTCATCTGGATTAATGGACAAAATAGTTTTAAGACAACATGGATAAAGCAAACTGGTGTTTCCCCCCCCCCTATTTATTTGTTTAAGCTTTTATCATCCATCATATCCTTGAAGTTATTATTAAGAGGTTGAGATTACCTTAAGTGCCATGAAAAAAATACTAGATTTACTGAATTAGAATCTCTGAGACAATACCCCAAATATGAATTGCTAACACATTACTCAGGTGATACCAATGCATGCTAAGTTTATAATAATATTGCTTAAATAAGGATTTACTTTTCCAAACCAAGTCATTCTAGTGCTTTTTGTCCTAACATGAAAGAATTAATCCTTGTTCCTTTACTATACCGATGTGAATAAGGGGTTCCAAGCCTAGCTGAACATTTTTCTTGACTAGAGGACTACAAAACAAAGGAAAACTATACATACAATGTCCAGTTTATTTTCTGACAAACTGTTGTTTAAAGATTGTGCTCCCCAGTAACTCCGTGAACAAGCGTATTTGAAAACAGCCTTAAAATAGGCAAGTTAATTACTCGCTAGTTTCTTCCTTTCATAGTCATAGAACAGCCTAAGAGCTGGAGGAGACAGGAAAGAATTAAGCTATGATGTCAGGCACTTTGCTTTCCTCATCTAATTTTTAGCCCATCTTTGTAAAGTGGTATAATCATCACTTCAAAGAAGAGGAAAATAAGAATCATGGTTGTAAGCAACTTACCAACGTTCATAAAGTAGAATTGAGGATTCAAATCCAGATTTACCAGATGCTAAAGGTATATTATTACCACCCCACAGCACATTTTCAAAAGTGAGAGAAGATCATAATCAATATAACTCAGCTCATGGTTTTAATGGAGGGAGTGGAGACAGGAGAAAAAGAATATGTGTTCATATTTATAAATGGAAAAATTACAAAAATTTCATACTATGTAGAGAATTCCTTCAAAATTCCAAATTTATATCTTAATGAAAAGAAAGATTATTAGTCTCTTTTTTATACACTGTTTCCTAAAAAGAGTGAACATTTGAAAGAAAATCCTTCAAACAATAAATGTTCATGAATTATTTTCATTTATACTCATTCAACCTCTTTTAAACTTACAACTTAAAATATAAGTAACTATCTATAATATAATCTTCAACTGGTCAAAAGGGGGTCATCAACTGAAGCAAAAATTATATGAATGGTCAATTAAGTCACTAAGTAAAAATGACTAAGTGAAGAAAAACACTAATAATATACAGTCACATACTCAATCAGCAAAAAATATGTCATGGGTTGCAGAATGATTCTATATGGCAATATTTTTTAGGAGCATTGTTACTTTCACAAATTATGTCTAGAAGCATACCACATAAAGAAGGCAGGAAGATAACCTTTATGAAACAATAAAGACTCTGCTTGTTCTACTCAAAACATATTATTATTATTTAAATTTTAAAAATACATATCATTTTCTTGTTAGGGAACKAAAACTTTTTTCATCATTATGTGAAGATGGCAAAATAAAATCCATTTTTAAACTTGGTTTTAAACTCCATCTTCAAATAAATTTTCTTCAGTCTCAATTGTTCACAAATGATTCTTAAATTGACTCTCAACTGTTATTGTCTCCAAGAGCTTTTTTATTAAACCACTGTGCTGTCTCTTCTATTTCTCCCTGAACCTGCACAAATTTCAATAATGTCAAGAACAATTACATTAACATTTTATTCCACCACTATCTGAACATGAAGTGTACATGTGAAACATACTTTTATTTTATAATACATACAGGATTTCAAGTCAGTAAAAATTTCTGTAAGTCAAACCTACTAAAAATGATCACTAATGTAAATGTGATAAACAAGGCCATAAATTTAAAACAATAAATCTAGCAAAGCAATAATTCTAACTCCATGAATCTAATTTCACTACATCTACTCATCCTGGCTCAATGGAAAATTTTACCTGAAATAGCTAGAATAATTATGATTCTGAATAATAAAGATGGTCCTGATATCTGGGTTGAAGATTTGRTGAAACACAATGAAGAGGACGAAATATTACACATACCAAGAGGTAAGTGATGGAAATGTGATTTAGTATTACTGGATAATCTGAAAGTAATTGTTAAAACTAAAACTCAAATTTTACAATAACATTTGTGTTATCAAAAGTAATCAGTAAAGGTTAGCATGGACATT